CGGTCTTGCCGATATCGTTCGGATGGTCGAGATCCCTCCCCCAAACCTTAGGCAGCAGCTAGTGCGAAATCGATGGTATGACCGCACATGTGTCACCTCCCACTGTGTCATCTGCCCCAACGGACGGGAGGGTGACTGCATGGTATCAGGAGTGATCTACCTGATCTCATGTAGGAGCTGCGGGGAGGAATACATCGGAGAAACAGGACGGCCTTTATGCTCCAGAATCAAGGAGCACCTGGACGGCATGAGAAGATCAAGACCCGAGACCCCCGGTGCCACAACAAGGTTGCAGTGCGCCTAATGTCGAACGCGAGTTTGAGGTTGCTGTGAGGATTTTGATACGAGACCGACCGAACCCCAGACCCCAGCACGCAAGACTCTGGAAGCATTTTGGATTGGCGCTAAAAGTCCTAAAATGAACAGGAAAGACGAATGTCTGTCAATAACTAATGAACTCGCACCGTTCCTTGACCTGTGCGGGCTTCGACCGCCTACGGCTTCATGTCGGGGGTCAGGTCACCTGGAGCCACCCACTGTCGGTCAGAATAGCGGTGGTCTAAGCGGTAACCTGTCGTGTAATTAGAGGTGAGTCTAACGAGTGCTTGTGTCTTGCCCCTCCTATCTAGATGTCTATGGTCTAGAACGAATTGCTCTGAAGTTCGAAATTGTGTTTGGAGGCTAGGTCGCACTTATCTTTGACTTACTTCCAGGCTCTGACGACGGCGACACGGCCGAAACGTTAGCCAGTAAAGTGATTATATCATCTTGGTGTCGGCTACAGAAGCAACCCTACCAGTGTACACAATGCCAAGATTTATGGATAGTCGAACATGGAGAGAGGTATTGCTTTTGAAGAGATTTAACAGCGTAAAATGCAAACAAAACTGCATGGACAGTGCAAAAACTCTGTATCAGCAGTGACAAGTTTAAAGATGCGAGTGTAAAAATAATAACATGAATTCTGCTTTATTTTCCTATGAACTTCTACCGCAGCGAAGACGACACGGTCCGTAACACGCCCCCGCCCACCGTGCCTGGCGTAAAGAGTTTCATTCAACTTGTGCTGCTTGGTAGCCAAACCCCGTTTCGTGTCAAATATAAACGAATTAAATAGATAATAACTAAGACATTCACACCTTCGCGAAATCATGTCATGGGCAGCACAAGGTTCATCCCAAGCGAAGCAGCTTGATAGTCACCAACACAAAAAACCCAGTCACTTGGCTCAATATCTTACACAGCACCTGCTGTCTTAATCCGCAGTCAAAAAGGTAAAATAAAAATCTTGAAGAGAGCAAGTTATGAAAATAACCTTCGCAGACAGAAGCAAAACGGTACAAAACAGCAGAAAAAATTACCAGTGTTTTCCAACAAATTGCTGCCATCCTTTTGATTCATTACTCGTATGAGATGAGGCAGTATTGATAAAACATATTGTCTCATTTCAGCACCCATCTTGAGAGACATCTGCAAATAGAAGCAATATTAGAAAAAGTGCAAGCCAATAAATCTTCCTAACCGCAACTTTCAATAGAGATGCGTTCAACATTTGAGTCTTCCCGACAGAAGAATTTGAATGGGGTTCACACGAAATGGATGATAAAAACGACCAGTTTCAAAACACTGAGAATAGTGAGCCGGATATGCTCCATTTTTAACGCGTATTTGAGTATTGCCATGCTGCATGAACTCGAAAAGCAAAAAAAAGATGGCTTCAAGTGCATTCATATACTTCTTTTTGAAACAATTCACGACCCATCTTGCCAGATAAAAACATAAGCGGAGATCGGATTACTGGAAGAGAATTAGCCTTATGATTGGATAAAGCGAGTCAACGGCGGCAAGATAAAATGACTGCAACGCCAAAAGTGAACGGACTGAGCAAGGGCTGCACTTTATCCTAGTACATATATTATCACACATACGCATCTGACCATACATGCCCCTTTCCCCGATCTCACTATTAAACCTTTGGAGCCCAGTCAGATCCCATATGTGGGCTTGCGTCTCCGACCGATAGGAATTCTCTCCGCCTCTGCATTTCGTATAAACAATTATTAGGTTTTCATTCATTTTCTTTCCATTTATCCGATAAGATTTCTTCTGCATTATACAGTGGGTTCTTCTTTTGAATTTGCTAGATAAGATCCCTAAAAATTTCACCGAAGTCCCGCGCGGCCGCGGAACGTAAAACACGCGCGGTCTCCAAAGTGTTAAACGGAATCATGAAAATCAACAGGATACAACCAGCCCTGTGAATGGGAAAAAGGTAAATTTTTTCTGCAACAATTAACTTGAGATCAAGATTCTTCGACCATTTCACGCGTTTGACCCCTTGCACGCAGAAATGGAATACTTCGATATTGATCAAGAAGGCGGAGGAGTCAATTGATGTGGCAGAGAAGGAAAACCTCAATAAACACTCAGGAAACCGAGAACTGTGACCCTTATTCCGCTCGCTTATTACTTTGGAGAAGTTAAGGGCTCAGTTCCCGACCGTTTGGATGAGGGTGCATCGAGACAATGTTTCAAGATAGGACGGCGCTATGAAATATACTTCCAAAATGAAAATGGAACGCTCGTAATAACGAGACCCATTTAAGCATACTCACTGCCTTCAAATGAAACCTTATGATAAACAAAACACATACCTCACCAAAAGCCCAGATGGCATTGTTGCACACAGAAATGTGCGACGGGTCGAAATTCATAGCCAAAATGGGGATGAACGTCTCTGAAATTGCTGCAGTCAATCCGAGAAAATTTCAACACCTCAATGAAGCGGAGATAGAAAGCCAGTCTACAATTCTCACTCAACAAAATGTAGGGTGACAAGTCGTGTTAGAATTTCTAGTGAGAACTCACGCGTGTACGGCTTAATGTGATGCCAACAAGCTTTTGTTAAATCGCCAAGTAATGCAAAGCTGCTCTGTCGAACTTCTGGCGTTGGATCCTAAAATAAGAGCTCGAGTATATGAGTAAAACTATGAGCATTTGTATAAGTAATAGAAGGAAAGAGAAACCAAAGATTGAAAATCCAAAGTTGCTTACCACAGCACACAACGACAGCAATTGCAGAACTTCATTGCGACCAACTAACGGCTCAATATGAGCGCCCAAACTTTCCGCCAGTCCTGACAGCAAGTCCAAGGCAACAATGAGATAATCCTAGAGACGTTAAATTGTATGCAACAATAAAACTTCGAATGCTTCGGAATCACCTTGTCCGGCATTTCTACTTCATTGGGTCGCTGCTGCGCTTCAACAGATTGACGTAAAGACTGCGTTATTAGAGTGATGCACCTTAATAAACTGAATTGGGAAGGACCAAAGATACTTAGAAACGGCCAGAAGCTAACCACCAAAGCAAAAATATTTCCATTAAGTGAAGCTATATTACCTTGTATAAACTGGTTCGCAGTACGTAAAAACTGGCTATACCATGGCCGATAACGACGATTACAATATCGAGAGAGAAAACAGCTCCTAAATACGAATAAGCACCGTACATCTCATTACGAGCTTTGGGTTCAAAAAAAAAAGTAACAAATCAGTCACCTTATCATCGTTTCCAAGCCTCTGCCATTTTTCCATAAGCGGGGGCATAAGCACTTGCACATACATGGGCTCACTCAGAGCATTACCAACAGAATTTGCCAAAGTACCGACAGCATCGTACAAAATCAGTAAGTTTTTTGCCTGAAAAATGTTTTTTAAGTGTTCACTCCATCTTACATACCACTTCTTGTGCTTTCAACACCATGATGACAGTGCGATTCCAAAGTGAATCCCCTTCTGAAGCCGCACGGGACAACGTCAGTATACAGATGAACCATCGTATATAATTCATTTTTGTGTGTGCGCGTCGTCAATGCGGTATTTTATCATGTTCGTCTATAATTTCCGCAACATTTACAGTCATAATTGTGAAAATTCCCGGAGAATTTTATGTGAAAATCTTCGAACGAAGCTCTATGAATGGCACAACTTATGGTTCAGACAAAGCGATCAAAATGCAAAAAAATTTTGCTCCACTGCTGTAGCAAGTTATAACAAACATTGCGCTTTTCACGAGCATCGCACTTCTCCAAATGCATAGCTTCTGTGCCATATACCTTTTACACATTCGCCATCGAAATTGCACAGATTCGAGCTGATGCGTCGCTGAACTATTTCGAAACTTCGCCATTAGACAGTCCTTCCTAACTGCAATCCCACATTGCTCACTATTTGATCCACTGTTCTATTTTCACGCGCTTTTTCAAATTCTTATACGCTTTTTCGTACCTGATCGACGTGCAAAAATCCTCGACACTAATCAAAATTCCAACCATTTCACATGTCTCATTCCGTTTTCTCATGTAGGACATTTCATTCTATGCATAAAGTTAACCCATTCACCTTTTCGAAGTTAATTTCAGCTTTGAGCTTCAAAAACGCACATTGACAGAGTAATTCGATTCTGAGTCAGGGCGGGGTGCTCACATGTGCAAAAACGCGCGCGACCAGGCAAGCAAAAAAACAAAACGAGCAGTGTCGTCAGAGTGTTGAATCTGGAATCAAACTGAAATGCGAGCACGCACCTGATAAATGCCAAAAGCCTGCACTAATGTCTGCAGGATATCCGAAAGATAAGGTGCAATGAAGTCTCCACCTTCCTCCTCCACTGTTGCAAATGCACTACATGCAGCTTCTTGAACGCGTTTGTTGCCATCGAGAACTCGCACGAGAAGCTAGAGGGAGGACGGTAATTAAACTTGTTGCTTACAACTGGACCTGCACGGTACACTTACACCTTTGAGAGTAGGTTCAAAGTACTGCTGGCGTGCCTCATCCACTACCCAAGAGCAATACCGTGATAGAGTCCAACACGTGATTGATCTAAACCGTGTCAATCAAAAACAAATGATTAGTGTGTGATAGAGAACACAGACCGAACAAGTGGCTTCTTATCATCCAGCATATTCAGAAGGAACGGTATGAGTTCATGTAAATGAGGAGTGATGCCATTCATACAACCTTCAGCAACTGCTCCAAGTGCAAGAATTCCAGATTCTTTCACCTGAAAACATTTTCTGTTGCGCAATTCAGTGTATCTCTATCCGTTAATCTGGAAGGTGTTTTTAGACCCTAGTTATCGAACGTCTAGCATTTAGAATCTTCAAAAGTTACATTACAATGCACTAATCAGAATGCAATCTCAAAGGCAGCGATTACGATAGGTTCAAGAAGGGTTTAGAGGAGACGTGGTGGTGCTCAATGGTACGCCAGTGGCGAAAAAAGCGGAGAAATCCGTCAAAAAAATGCAAAATGGGACCCCCTTTTTTGCCGTTGGTTTTCACTCATGAACAGGTGACAGCTCAGAAAGCGGACGTATGAACGAGTTCAGCGCAACGCGTTTGGTAACACCATGCCAAACCACACTCCGAGTTGCTCCAGTTGTGCCGCTGCTCACATCGCACTAAATAACACATAAGCTTTTGTGGACTACTCAACAATAAAAAACCAAGTCAAAAGCGTAATCCAGAACCCATTCCTGGCAATCTACACGAAAGTGACGAAATTGATTGATAGCCAATGACTCTCAAGATTCAACTTTTGCGGCAGCATCGCTCCATAAGGCGACACGGAAATGTAACTAACTCTCAACTTCAATTCAAATGTAGGTTAATATAATGCAAAACAAAACAAGTAATGTCTTCTACCTCTATTGATCTAATACATACCTATTTCTTGAACAAGAATATGAAAAAATTTACTAATCTGGTAAAGGTGCCAGAACTCACTTCCCATTCTGGATGGCAAAGCGCTTCCTTCAGTATCGGAAGAAGTATTGGTAACAATTCCTGCTTGAATATTGATGCCAGTACATCTAGCGAAGCCGCGGAGCACCGTCCTGAAATAATACTTGCCAAAATTGGACCCTAATGCTTTGAAGAATCGTGATAAACATACGGATATTCCATTCAGCATATGTCTCATCACTCCCATCGTCATCATTATCCTGAAAAAAAAGGTGAACGTAAGAACAGCATTATTATTGAGATAGGTCTAAAACAAACTGTGAGAGAGGGGAGAAAGCAGTATTCGCTGCTCACTGAATTTCAACAAAACGAGAAAAAAGTTCAAACGGTGTCAAGAGTCGTCTTTTGAATATTGAAGCGCTTCGCATGGCGTAAGTCAAATAAAAATTAACAACTAAGAATCCAACGAATACACACAGCAATTGATTATAACGCCTTAAACGGCATGAATAGAGAAGCAAAGTTTACAGTTTCAAAACCCACTTCACCATTGAGTTGTCCTGCAGCAACTTTTGATTTATGGAAGCGTGGCTTGATGTCTTCATCTCGATCAGGTATCATGGCGTCTTCCTCGTCGCAATTTCCCTTCAAAGAAATGAAAAATGCAGTCATTCCACGAAGAATTCTAGCGAGAACAGGAGCCAAATTGCCAAAGCCATGCAAGCGGCTGACTTATTTTTATCTTCACTACATGTAAATTAGTACACAATTGTGTTTTACACCTCACCTTGAGCGCAATGATGTCGCTTTCTGAATACCGCATGCATTTAATAAGCACTGGAACAAGTTTTCCAAGAAAAGGCGACAGCAACTCTTTGCACACATCGGAGTTCTCAGCCAAAGATAACCAGAACTCGCAAGCTTCGACGGCAATGTTCTCGTTCGGGTCCTGAAATCACTGAACTCACAATCATCAAGCTTTAAGCACAATCAACAAAAGACATCTCAGGAGTAGCTCATTGAGTCTTCTCATTGAGTCTTTACACTCATTTGATTTCCAAATGAGATTTTGAGAAGGATGAGACTGCAGTGAAAGTATGAACTATGTCTATAGTGACACCTTGCATATGCGAAACGCAATGGCGTTAGGAGCTCACATCGCCTATAGAACATCTTCTCAAATGAACAAAATTCTCTCAACAAATCCATAAAGAGCTTTTTCTTTTACCCTAACTAATCACCTCTCCTTTCTCTTCCGTCATCACGTACTTGCATGGGCGTCGCGCCTAAGCAAAATGAAAAGACGGCTTTAACACCACAAAGATTAAACTTCATTACTTCATTACCTCCACAGTTGATTTTGTTTCAGTCAGAATGGAGACTCGGGTCTGTTGATATTCTCCTCTCATTACCGATTTAGTAAACTTTAACAGCCTAGTTTACGATGAAAAGGTAGCTTATTTGAAATAAAGTAGAGGTCAGTGACATGGGGATGAAGAAGAAACCATGTGAAACAACCGGAACCCGAGAAATGGGACCCCTTCCTTGCCTGTTGATTTCCGCATTGATGCGGCTCTCATCGTGCCCTCTTCAAAAAGGTTACGCCCTCTGCTATGTCGGGAGCGGAGGGGGGGGGGGCGTTCCGGGTCAACTGAGCTAAAATGAAGGCATGTCAGATCGCCGGAGGCATATCCTTCGATGCGAATTGATGTTGGTCCGCACCCTTAGGAGGTCCGCCTGTCTCTCCACTAGGTAAGTTTCACATTCTTCGATCTTCGTTCTTATCGTGGATCCTCCTTTGAGACAGCGAACACGATAATTTGGTGCTAACCAAAGAGAAAAAAACAGAAGTGACAAATGAAGGGGCATTAAAAATAAACCTGATATACGGTCGAAAACCTGAGAGCTGGGACGCCCACTCTGTCATTCTTGTCCTTGAAAAAGTTTAGAGCAGAGACGCCTGCCGTTTGGGTGAGGATGCTGTGACGCAATAGAGGAAAAGATTACAAGATGCGGCGGTTTGATGCGGAATGCACTTTCAAAATGAAAATCTAACACCAATGATAACAATGTCGCACATCTTATGGTTAGTAATCACTCTTAGAGACAGGCCAACTTCAGGTCTGGGACCTAAATGCGTTGCACCAGCGCACCTTTCGCCGCAAAACCTATCCCTCGCCTCCTTCGCGACAGGCTACCGCTTTCCCTGGTGCAGTCCCATTTTAGCACTCACTTCGTTTAGGTCAGTGGTGTAATGACAAGTGGTGTTATTCCACATACGGGGTTCAATGTTAAAAACGGAATCGAAATTTCCCGAAGCAAGCCGAGCCTTTCCCCTCCAATATCCGTCCAAAACATTCTGGGAAGATAAATGGAATGACTTATACATCCGCCGGTTCTTGCAAGTTATTACGTGGCCCTGAGCTCATTAAAAGGTGACTACTTAAATGGACGTAAAACGAGTGTAAC